TATTTTTGTTAGATTGCAGCTGCATTTGAGTGTGTACTTTTCTTTTACTTATTTTCTTAATTACACTTCCTCTGTAACTGAGGCAACAAAACACATTCATTACGCTGTTTAATATATACTAATTTGATAAGAAACAGATTCAGTATAGATCACGAATAGAATCCAATATATTTTCAATTAATAATACTAAGGAGAACACTCTGACAAATCGCTTCCTTTTTTTTAATCCCCACTCAAAAATGGTCTAAGCAAATTTCTTATTTTCTGATAACAATTTCCTAAGTTTTATCTGGAACTTTAACATAAAGAAATTATTAATAGGAAAAGACTGCCAAATTGCTAAGAACATCTGTGCACATTGATGTGATATTTTGGGATGCCTCCACATATGGAAAAATGGAAAGATAACATTTTAATGTATTTTTTTAACCAAAATTAAGCTAACTTGATTCCATTATCCTGCTTAATACTGATGGCCTCACTTTTACACAGTTATAAATTATTGTGGGTTATATCATCAGCTTGTTTTAGGATGCCCTCCTAGTCATATTTATTTCAGGACTTCCCATCCCCTTGTACAATAGTTGATGTTTCTGTTGAGACAATAAGAAAAAACAGACATAAAAGCTTTCAGGCAAAAATATCTCTCTATTCCTCCAGTGGAGTTAGCATTTCAGGCAGAGCCACAGTAGAGCTCTTTGGAGGTTGGGTTGCAAACTTTGCAAAGTGCTTGGGCTCAACCAAGCTCCAGAACTTTGCATTTTATGATGTGTTGAAGAAGAAGAATCTTTTTCTTTCCTTTCCTTTTCTTTCTCTGTAGGTTCTTGGGAATGGGTGGAGTGGTCAGCCGCTTTCCCCTCCAGAGCCAAACGCAATAACTGCTGTGAGGACAGAATGCTTTTTTAGCTGAGCTTGGCTGTTCCATTACTCGGTCAGGAGGGGGGCAATATTAACCATTAAAAAATGGAACGGTGAGCTGGCTTAGTAGTTTGACCATGCCATCCTCTCTCTCTCTCTCTTTTTTTTTTTTTTTGTGGCCTGCGGTTTAATCTTAACAAACAGCCAGTTTTGTTAACCCCTGATGAATGCATAATGGCTGTCTACGACAAACTGTCCTCAAACATCTGAAAAGCTTTCACAGCCCGAGAGGAAAGTTGTAAAATATAGTGTGCATGCATGCGTGTAATCCTAGACAGCCATCTAAGCAGTCTCCGTAATATTACAAGATGTGCCCACATTTCTCTCTCTTGCTTGTCAGCCTGACACCTCCGCTTGAGCAGCTGTGGAAGAGATATTTATAAAGCTGATGACCATTCAGCCTGGCCTCTGACTCTTCCCCATGATCCCCGGGCTAGAGGCTGCTTGGGGAGTAGCAGGTGGCCCAGGCAGTTGCCGAAAAACACTCAGAGCCTATTTTTCTGTTTGTTTATTGCTCCCATGGGGAAGGGGAACAAGGAAGCATTCCAAACGGAGCCTGCTCTGGCAAGCCACTTTTGCATTCGTTGGACCTGGCACCCCCTTCCCACCAGCCTGCGGATGGAGGAGGAACCTGGGGCCATTCTCCAGTGGTTCAGCAGATCAACCAAGTCGTTCATTAACTGCAGATCAAGGAGGACAGCATTTAATTGGCACGTCCCCTCCAATTACTGGTTTGCAACGAGGGCTTGATAAGCTTTCTCTGGATGAATTCTTCTTGCAGAAATCATGCTTTTGAACCTTTCAATTGCCCCAAGAGCCTTGGAATCTCACTTTCTAAATTAAGTTTTATTTTGGGCAATGTGCTTTAATTGCCTAGCACACATTAATTTGATAACCTTGATTGTCAAAGAATATGTGGCATTGGCTGAAATGCAAAACTGAAAAATCAGTTTAAAATCACTTAGTTATTGATTAGCCCTTGGGCCATATCAAAGAGTTTAAAATAGCTTAAAATTTGCTTCATTTTTTTCAGAAGTTTATGTGAACAGATTATTGTTATTATGGTTGGTTGGTTTAACCGGTAGCTAGCCGGTTAAATAGATTTGGCATTATTCTATTGGGTCTTTCCCAAGGACCTGGGATAGGTAGTTGTTATCTGATGGGGATTTTATCAATGCCAATGGTATCCAAGAGGTGCTTTGGGGTTGCATCCCAAGTGCTTGTTGTTGTTGTTATGCACATTATTCAGTCATTTTGAAAGTTCA